GTAATAGATACAATAAAGCAGTATTACAGGAGAACAACAACTAAAGTTTATTCACAATAACATTTCAATATATACAGTACATAGGTAAATGGTGACTGGTTACTTAATTGATATGCATAAGGGGTGGTGCTTCCCAATCATCCCATAATAGTTACGGTAGTGGGAGATACTCAATCACACAGGTGTGTATACAGTTGACAGCTGACCTCCACTTAGGGGTAATTATCTGTTGGTTCCCAGAGTCTGGCAGACATACAGGGACAAACCATGGACAAACTAATGAAGGCTATTTACATTGAAACCCATTAAATCAAAGTTAATAATAACATGGATATAAACAATAAGAAGAGAGCCTCTTAACATCTTCTAATCAGATTAAAATCGGCAAATTTTGGTTGATGTCGAAAAAAAAATTTGGCCGTGAGATGGCGTGTGTCGACTATCTCACCCTGAGACAGACAGATGAAATCCTACCTGGGCTGGGGTCTGGTGGGTGAAATTGTTGACGAGTATATTTGTTGTTTTCGATATTGTTGGAAATGAGTAAGAACAACAATTGCATACATTAAACTGTGATATGCCTAGGCCTAATTCCGTGGTTGAACAGGCCTAGGCTAGCCTGCCCTACTACTAGAAGAGAAGGGCTAGCCTGTGCCACGTGTGGTGTATGTATCTCTCCAGGCAGGCAGGCAGGCTAGCTGGTTAGCTTTATTATAGTTAGTTAGGCCTAGGCCTACCCTTACTTCTTACCAAGCCTACTAACTAGAAAGGCCTATGCCTAAGTCAACCGTCTAGCCTAGTTAGTAATGCAAGTGTAGTATGGCCTAGAGTAGTAATGACATAGTAGCATACATAGGCCTAGTAAGAATAAAGATGCTAGCCACTACTAGGCGCAGGCGGTGGAGGAGCGAGGCATTGCCCCCGTCGGACAGGCCTGGATCCTCGTCGACGGTCCGACACCATAACAAATTTTAAAAAGTAATAATTAGCTGAATAATGTTACTTTAAAATTAATTGCTAGTTCATATTGTGGTCTAAAAGCACAATTTGGACCATCCACTAAGCCATTGTACCCCCAGTAAACCCTGCCATTTTTTTGGGACCCAGACCAAGTCTCTAGTCCAGACACACAGGTCCCAAGTCTCGCATGTTTCTTGCGGAAATCGGGATGGCTTCCTGCACTCCAGCAAGCAAACAAGAATCTCCCGGAAATTAACCTATGTCCTGTAAATGCATAATATTTGCATGTTTTTACTGCTTTATTATTATCAATTTTCTCACGGAAGTTATTGCCAATGCGCAGCAAAATAGAATTGAAAAAACGCATAAACCAGACGAGTGTCAGATAAAAGAAAGCCCCCCACCCCCAAATTTTTCTAAATTAAAACAAATGGAGAGAAAAGAAAATCATATTTAAATTTCAGTCTGAGACTGCCATTTGTGGCCATCTACAGGTGCCATAACTGGGGCGGATTCAGAAATTTTTTGAAGGTGGCCCAATGGCCGATCCAGTATCTCAAAATAGAGGGGCAAAGGGCAGGGATGGATTTTGACAGACCGAGGCTGAGGCAAAAAAAAAATGTATGACACCTCTAGATGGCCAGAAATGGCAATTTCATACCTAAATTTGATTATAAATTTTCCTTTTCTCTAAAATTTTGAACAAAATTAAGGGGAAGAGGTCTGGCCTGGCTTGACCCGACTTGAATCTGGCATTGTAGTCCACATACACCTCAGCCCAACCATGGTTGGGGCTGAGGTGAGCAAATTTTAAAAATTGGCCCTCAGAATTGGCACTCTTGGGTGGTAAAAATGCTTTTTCAAAAGTGTTCCTCGACAAAGGGAGCTATGCTACCCCTCCTTTGACACCCATCCCCTCACAGGCATCGCAAAGGTCTAATTAAGGTATAGTAATTCTATACTGGGAGTCGCAAAGCAAATTATGATTATGACACCTCTAGATGCCCAGAATTGACACTCATTCAGACCTAAAATTTTAATATTTTATCCATTTAAAAAAATTTACAAATTTAGGGGGTCCTGGCTGGTTTGGCACTTCACCCCTAACCCCACTGGGAAAATATAACTCATGTCCTACAGTTGATGTCAGAGACACATTACGCTGTTATGTATTAGCAAAACCCTTATGGATCAGCACTTTAGAACAAAGACCCTATGGGTAGGAGAACCAAAAGGGACCCTAAGGGTTGATTGAGGAGAATGTTACGCCACTAGCACGGATAGCTCTTCCAGCTGGGTACTACATTGCGTAATAATGGCAAAAAACTCCGCTGTAGGTCTCTGTCTTTTGGCCTTTTTTACATAAAGTTTTATGAAATCATTAAAAAAAATTTATGTTGGGGATATAGCATTGTTGTATTAATATTTTACTTAAAATAACTGTTATAATTTCATTTTTATATTCCTATTAATTTTTCTATTGATCTGTAATCAAGCAAAATTTCACCTGTGTATAACATTTTTTTTAGACCACTACGATGATTTCCCTAGCAATGAAGAAAATGATGTTAAGAATAATGAACAGTTTTGAGCCCAGAAAAAACATGGCATATTGAAAGCAATAACTGTGAGGAGGAAAATATGAATGAATGCAGTGAAATGAAAGAGAAAAATGAAAATTCAAAGACACATTTGAAAGGGAACAACAAAGAATTGACACATGCATGTGACCATTGCGGAGAGAATTTTGATTTTATTACTTTAAAAACACATATGGGAATCAAAACAGAATATGAATCATTTTATTGCATACATTGCGGAGAGGAATTTGATCAAGCAAGCAAATTTGAAGAACATTTGGAAACACATACAGAAAAGACACAATATGAAAGTGAACATTGTGCAAAGAAGTTTAAAGATTGTGGCAGTTTGGAAGAACATTTGCAAAAACATACTGGAGAGACACCACATGAATGTGAACATTGTGGAAAGAAGTTTACACAAAAAGGCAATTTAAAAAAACATTGTGGAAAGAAATTTAAAGACAGTAGCAATTTGGTAACACATTTGAGTATACCATATGAATGTGAACAATGTGGAAAAAAGTTTAGAGACAAAAGAAGTATGGTAAGACATTTGAAAATACATACAGGAGAAACACCGTATGAATGTGAAAAATGTGGAAAGAAGTTTAAGCAGAAAGGTAATTTAAAAACACATTATAGGATACATACAGGAGAGACACCATTTGTATGTGAGCAATGTGGAAGAAAATTTAGAGATGGTAGCAGTTTGGTTGCTCATTTAAAAATACATAAAAAAGAAAAAGAATTTGTATGCAAACACTGTGGAAAGAGGTTTAATAAGAAAGGCGATTTGAAAACACATTTTAGGATACATACAGGAGAGTCACCATATGAATGTGAACAATGTGAAAAGAAGTTTAAAGAATCTGGCTCATTGAAAATACATATGATGATACATACAGGAGAGAGACCACATGCGTGTCAACAATGTGGAAGAAAGTTCAGAGACCAAAGAAGTATGGTAAGACATTTGAAAGTACATACAGGAGAAACACCGTATGAATGTGAACAATGTGGAAGGAAGTTTAAACGGAAAGGCGATTTGAAAACACATTATAGGATACATACAGGAGATACACCATTTGAATGTGAGCATTGTGGAAAGAAATTTAGAGCAAATAGCAGTTTGGTAACTCATTTAAGAATACATACAGGAGAATCACCGTATGAATGTGAACATTGTGGAAAGAAGTTTAAACAAAAAGGCGGTTTAGAAAGACATATTAGGATACATCCAGGAGATACACCGTATGAATTTGAACAATGTGAACAATGTGGAAAGATGTTTAAACAAAGTGACCAGCTGAAAATACATATGAGGATACATACCGATGAAAAACCATTTGTATGCGAAAAATGTGGAAAGAAGTTTAGAAACAATAAAAATTTGGTAAGACATTTAAAAATACATACAGGAGAAACACCATATGAATGTGAACATTGTGGAAAGAAGTTTAAAGAGAAAGGCAATATGAAAAAACATTTCAGGATACATACAGGAGAGTTACCATTTGTATGTGAGCATTGTGGAAAAAAGTTTAGAGACGGTAGCACTCTGGCAACTCATTTGAGAATACATACTGGTGAAACACTGTATGAATGTAAACATTGTGGAAAAAAGTTCAAACAGAATGGCAGTTTGAAAAGACATCTTAGGATACATACCGGAGAAACACCATATGAATGTGAACAATGTGGAAAAAAGTTTAGGGACCCTAGCAGTTTGGTAAATCATTTGAGAATGCATACAGGAGAGTCACCATACGAATGTGAACATTGTGGAAAGAAGTTTAAAACATTATGCTCATTGAAAAGGCATATGAAGATACATCTTTAAATAAGAGAAACCACATACAGTAGTTAAAAAAAAAAAAAAAAATTGACATACTACATACAGAACAGAAGCCCTATTAATGTAATGATGCATTCAGTTTGGTCATGGATTCATTCCAAAGTGCTATAAATTTTTCTTTCTTTGCAGCCATAAAACAATGCAAGTCCTTTTGTAGGTAGCTTTGATCAGTAGGGCAAGAATGCTTTGATCTCTAGTTATATTCACAACTACAGTATTTCACCTAATAGAGGTTATGTTTTCATTGGTTAAACACTTTTGGTACTTGTGCATTTATAAACTTGCAAATATGGATGATTTTTCATTCCTAATGATATAATTAATATCCCAATATGATAGCATGCATTTCAATACTTGGAGTACCTTTGTAGTACATTTTTTCTTATTCTTATTCTTTTATTGCCAAACAAAAACATATTACAATTATACAGAAACTGAAAACAAGACTATAACTGAGCTGATTGGCAGGGACACAAAAGTGAACTAAAACTATAACAAAATGTGGATAAATGCTGATGTACCATACTCTACTACAGATGAGCTCCATTTAAAGTGATTTGCTGATCTCTTCAATTTTGTTATACAGTTAAACTTGCCTTAGTCGAATTCGAATAAAATCTATCTTATTTTACATGCCAAGTGGTTGTGTTTTCCATTAATTAAAAATCTGTAAGTCAAATTTTATCTAAATTTGTACAATTTTTCAATGTCATTTTGGATTTGACTTAGCCAAGTTCAAATGTAGTGTCTTTTAAATGCAACATATTTTTGCTTGGTGTATCACAAGACTAGTGCATTCAATGCAACTCCCAAGAACCAATAACTCATGCTTAATGGAAAGAAAATGTACTGTAAAACCTTGAATTGAAGTCCAGTGGGCTTAGACTTAATCTCGAGATAAAGCCCATCTCACCTTGAAGCACCCTCTTTAGTTTGTATAATTAGCCTCTACAGTACATCACTGTGCATTAATTTTAGAAAATAAATTAATTAAAAACACGCTTGGTTTATACATTATTTTAGGTGATTTAATGCCAGTTAAATGCACTCGATAATACAGATTGATGTTACACTGACTTTATTTATTGTCAAATTGTACAAATTCACAAAATTTACAGCATTCATTTTGAAAAGAAGCCCACCACCAACCATTACTTTGCAAAAGTAGTCTCGAAAAGAAGTCCATCTTGAAAAGAAGCCCATCCAAAGTTCGCAATAAAAAGGAAGCCCAGGGCTTCAATTTGAGGTTTTACGGTATGCTATCTCATCAATGGTGGCTCCATAAATTTGCCAATAATGCTCCATCATGTCCTGACAAAGAATCTAAACCAAATGTCCATCTAAAGCTTCATTCAATGTCCCCCCCTATTCGAATTCTTTTAATTATGTTTTTTTTTTTTTTTTTCAGATCTTCAGTATTAAGAATTTGGGGAAATGTGAATCAGCTATGTCAGAACATGAAATGAATATTAAACAGAATTCAGAAATTAAGGTTGAAATAGGTAAATTGTCTGTTACGTTTTTTTTTTAAAGATTTTATTTCTTCAGCATCCAGCAGCCACAAGGAAATGTTCACAGGACTAGACATAACATTACATCATTTATAGTACAGTAGTGTTATTTCATAAAGATTGGAGCACTGAAAGCATGCACTACGTAGCTCGGTCAGTATTAGCTTCTTCTCCCCTAAGGGTCGCTTTGTGTCTAAGCTGCCAGGTAAACCGGTTCCAGCTCCTCTCAGCTGTCCACAATAGGGGCTATATGGACCAGTACACCGGGGTAACACCCCCTCTTCCCCAACTCATCTCGAAAGACATACAGTACAATGTTTTTATAGTGCACATGAGTCAATTGTACACTGGGCCTACGGTTAGTATTCCTTATCGAAGAACACCAGTTCTACCTCCAGAATCATAGATGAGCGTTCTGTTTGACCCAGTGCCAAGATCCACTTGTTTGCCAAGCCCAGTTTAAAAGGAAATTAAGGACCAGATTGCTGATGATGTATTTCTTTAAAATGGCTGTTTTAATTTAATTTTTAATTTAAAATTTTTGCAATTTCTATACATCTATAATCAAGTGAAATTCACCTGTGTATGGGAATTTCTTTACTTAAATGCAAGATATGAACAATTTTGTTTTGGATGACCATAAAGTAATTAATATTTCATATTTATATTGTTTAGACCAATATGATGATTTCCATATCAATGAAGAAGATTTTAAGAAAATTGAACAGTGTTTGATCCCAAAAAAAAATATGGTGTTTTGCAAGCAATGAAATAGAAGAGAAAAAGTTACTGTAAAAGCTTGGATAAGGCCGCTCACGAATAAGCGTTACACCTTGAATACGCACCGAGGCACTTAATCGATAGTATGTATAGATTACCCTATATGTAATGAAACTCTTTGAGAAACAGGGTTTAAAATACGATGTATGCAGTGTCATAATGAATACACTATGAAGACACAAGCATTTCTTTATAAACGTTCATTTACGATGATGTAGTACCTATGGCAGGCCTACCGAACTACATGAATACATGAAATATGTAACATAGGAACGGGCATTGAAACCGCCTCGATCCTCCAAAAATGTTATAAGTGCCGTGGCGCTTATTCAAGCATTTACGGTACATTGTATTGGGATGACCATAAAGTACTAATTGATATTTCATATTTATATTTTTTAGACCACTACCATTATTTACCTAGCAGTGAAGAAGATGATGTTAAGAATATTGAACAGTTTTTGATCACAGAAAAAACGTGGCATTTTGCTGCTGAAAACAATGACCATGAGGAAAATGTGAATGAATGCAGTAAAATAGAAGAGATAAGGGACAATTCAAAGATATATTTGAAAAGCAACAACAAAGAATTGACACATGAATGTGACCATTGTGGAGAGAATTTTGATTTTATTACTTTAAAAACACATCTGGGAATCAAAACAGAAGATGAATCATTTTATTGCATACATTGCGGAGAGGAATTTAATCAAGCAAACAAATTTGAAGAACATATAAGAACACATGCAGGAGAGACACAACAATATGAAATTCAACAATGTGGACAGGAGTTTAAAGAAAGGAGTACTTTGAAGTCAAATATGTTAATACATTCAGAAGAATTTCCACATGAATGTGAAGAACGTAGAGGGAAGTTTCAACATTTAAACATGTTGGAAAAACATTTGATGACAAATACAGGAGAGTCACCATTTGCATGTGAGCAGTGTGGAAAGAAGTTTAAACACAATAGCAAGTTTAAAATACATATGAGGATACATACAGAAGAAAAACCATTTGAATGCAAAGATTGTGGAAAGCGGTTTAATCGGAAAGACAATTTAAAAGCACATTTAAAGATACATACAGGAGAGACACCATATCAATGTGAATATTGTGGAAAAATGTTTAACCAAAGAAGCAATATGAGAACTCATTTGGGAATACATACAGGAGAAAGACCATATGAATGTGAACATTGTGGAAAGAAGTTCAAACTGAAAGGTGATTTGAAAAAGCATTTTAGGATACAAAAGACTCACCATTTGCATGTGAGCAGTGTGGAAAGAAGTTTAAATTAGTAAGTATGTTGAAAAGACATAATATGAGGATACATACAGAAGAAAAACCATGTGAATGCGAAGATTGCAGAAAGAAGTTTAATCAGAAAACCCATTTGAAAACACATTTTAGGATGCATACAGGAGAGTTGCCATATGAATGTGAACAGTGTGAAAAGAAGTTTAAAGAATATGGCAAGTTGGAAAGGCATATGAAGAAACACTTAAGAGAAACAACATCATTTGGTTGACATACATACAGAATAGAAGCCATATTAATGTAAAAGATACAATACATTCGTTTCAAAGTACTTTAAGAATGTTTCCTCTTTGCAACCACAAAATAATGCGGTTCTATAGGTGATGTCATCTAAAATCTGAGGGTCCACTATTAATTTCTGAAAAGAAAGTCTAATACTTTAGTAATTCTGTTGTGATACAGTATTTCAACTTTCAAGTTCAGGAGTATCAATTCAACCATTACATATATTAAAAGTATTGACAAATGCATGATATTTTCTGAAGGTGATCCATATACAGAACAGTTAATGGAAATATTTACCTACATACTGGATTTCTCTTTAATTAGGATAAACCAGTTTTGAAATTTGTCGCTATTATATTTCTGTTGGAAAATATTGGCAACTGTAGAGACACGTGTGGGCTGTGTTTTCTGTTTGACATGCTTGGGCAACAGAGCTATGCCATTAAACAGTTTAAGGTCTGGGAGTGGGAGTGTTATTTCTTCCAATCTACAGTACACTGTTGAGGTGCCGTAGCAATAAAGATGTTCATACCTCAGTATGTATTATTGTACAATAGTTCCAAAACTAACATTTCAAAAACAATACAGTAGCAAAGTAGTCCGAAATATTTGAATGCTGTATGATTAAAAGTTGTTGGTTATGTCGTGAACACAACAGTTGTCTTACACTGTTACTTTTTACTTTTTTTGTTTTTAAAATGAACACAATAAAGTTTTTGAAGCCATTAAACTGAGAAATTTGTTGGTTGGTAATATGAATGAGTTTTGTGTACTTCCCAGAACACCATATTGAATACTGTAAAGTGTGGTACAGTACATCAGCCATTTGAAATTCATAATAATAACTTTTATTTTAAAACGGAAAAAAAATTTATCACCGTATTAGTGTTTTAGTTTCACAAGGCCGTTTTTGCAAGTTAAGATACAAATAAAATGAAGAAACTTAAATAAAGAAAAAAATCAAATTAAAATACATACTGGACAAAGAAAAGTAAAATCTAAAATGATGAAGACTAAAAAATGATAAATTCTGCAACTTACAAAAGCTCTACTACTGTATAAGATAAATTTAGAGACTACTTACAGTATGCTGCATACGATAAATACAACAGCCTTACAAATATGGATAATGGTAAAATTGTTACAAAGTTCCGAACATCGTAATGCATTTTTAGTAGTAAGAAACGGGTGGCGCGACCGGGGGAGGCCCCCTTCAGTGATATTTTGTACATATTAGTAGACTCTAAAATCGATTAAATAAAGCCTAGTTTGAAACCAATCCATAATTGTAAACAATTTTACTACTGGCGAGCAGTAGTTGGCAGGCTCGTAATTCACAGGTGCACAAATGAATCTGGAATCTGACTTTCCTAGTCTACAAAACAGAAAAAAGAATAAGGCAAAAAAAAAAAAAAATGAGGGAATGGACTAAAAAAAAAAAGACCTTTTTCGCATCATATAGTTAAAACTTTGTGAGTTATATTTACATTCCTGGTGAATTTGCTTTGCTTTTTTTTATATGATTTGTTTTTGTATTAGGTTGTTTACTTTTGTATTTAAGTTGTTATTGTTGTCCGACCGCACCACACAGTTGTGTGTGCCACCGTTCTAAAGGTGAAGTGTCAATAAATAAATAAAATAAATAAATTTAATGCAATGCGAAAAAGGTCTGTTTTTTTTTTTTTTATAAACTTTCTAGCTAGGCGGCAGCAGCATGCAGGCAGGCATGGTGTCAAAGGTTACAGCCGTGTACAGTACCAGGGTTGCCATTTGGCCTTTTTGACGGCCAGATTCCTCAAATCTGGCCGTATAAAAATTTGCCTGGCCGTAGCATTTGGAAAGTCACGGCCAAACTATATTTGGCCGAATTTTTGAAAAGTTTACATTTTTTTTCAATATAGGTCTAATATAACGTAGACTAGTTTTGGATATTTTGTTTTTGTTAGCTTAAATTCTATATTTGATTTTAATCTTGTACCTTTGTTTGTACTTGCACTAAACACTTAATCTATGTTCCCCGATTCAGCCGATTTGACGTAAGAGAGTTTATTTAAAAGATAACAGTTAAATTTAATAAATTAAATTGTTCGGATGAAATACCGTATATTGTTTATAAGGTTTATCCTCGTTTAAGCTTTATGAAGACAGTTCATTGCAAGTTTGTACCATATTGTGTGTCTTTGTATATGTTCTATCTAACTAGTGGAGGTTCTATCTCTTTTGAATTCAGAGGCGAATTTCGAAAGTTTAGATAAAAAGTATTTATTAAAGTTTTCATGGGTTTGTTTTAACGCCAGTTTGTGTTACCTAACTATGTAACTTAATTCATTCTAATTAAAGCGAGCCACGGATTTGGCAATAACAGGCCCTTCAAATTTTTGCTATAGATCGACTAAAATGTACATAATATTTAATACATTTAAATCAAACTTATATCAATTTTAATATTGTGATTTTAAATAGCAGAAGTGGATTTAAGGGGAAGGGGTGGTAAAAAAAAAATAAAAATAAAATAAAATAAAAATTGATCGCCCAATGCATCAGGTTATTTTCGGGCGTCTAGAAGACAAATTTCCTCTAAGATGGTGTTATCTCGATCGGACCCATTTCGTCCCCCCCCCCCTTTCTCCCCTTTTTTCGGCGCCGGCCCTCCCCTTTCGGACATCTCTGGATTTGCCCCTGAATTGGCTTGCATGCCAACAACTAAAGAACATAGGCTATTTATTTTTAACATTGTTCTGTGTATATCATTTGAATTTCTTCAATTTCAAACGAAGGAGCGCTGATTTTCGTATAATTTTGTAGTATTTCAAATGAATGTACCCACTGTTGTCTTCTAATCGGATTAAAACCTGGCCGAATTTTGGCCGATATCGAAAAAAAGTTTGGCCGAATTTGGCCGTGAGATGGCGTGTGTTTGGCCGTGAAGCCTGTCGATTATCTGGCAACCCTGGTACAGTACACGCGAGTTAAGGAAAAGGAACCTATTTGTCTGTATTATTAACGATCGCCAATCAAATGACAGATTATAAAGAAGAACAACGGAACGAAATAGAGGCATTGCAATGCATTTATCCTGAGGAATTTTCACGTAAAGTGTTTTACTTTATTTCCGTTGTTTTGTTGTGTTAAACGCTGCCTCAATGTGTATACGTAACGTAGGCCTAGACCTGCTACTACTACTAGAGAAGCTGAGCTAGGCCTGCTGGGTGTTCTGGTGCGTGCCTGCTTGCCTGCCTGCTACTCTGCTACTACACTACAACGACGGTCGGGCGCAGGAGGTCAGGTCGGACTACATCATAGCCTAGTTGCCAACTTTTCCAAAAAAAAATCCGTGAGAACTTGTG